CAGCCGTAGGCGGCCCTTTGTTCCCAGGTTTAACTTGTAGACGCCATTGGGGGACGTGATTGCGTCAGGGGTTGTCGTATTTTTGCTGAGAATGGAGCATAGGAGGATCAAGTCATCAGGAATTGTGGGTCTATCAACTCTGATAATGGTGTAGGTTTGGGGGATTAGACGGTGGTGGTGGGGGTGGTAAGAGGGAAAATGAAGATCTTCCTGCTGGTCTCGAACCGCGCTCCGTGGCCGTTTGCTGACAAGATGTACAAAAGACAGACGAGAAGGATCAATAGTGATAATATTGAGTTCTTCTGAGCGAACTCGTGTAGGCCTGTTGCGGGTAATCGCACTCAACAGTCACTCGCAGCTCTTGAATATCGAGTAAACAAGCGATAAGCGTGACGGAAGAAGTTATCGTATTACGCACTTGACTCTAAATGCGTGGCATAATTGGGGGCATCCGAAATACAACGGGATAGTGACTGTGAAACGAGATCGTCGCTTCATGATTTCCCAGATGGTTCATGTCAATGAACTCTAGTACCATAAAAGTCAAAAACATCTGTCTCACCTAGGTAAAATGATACTTGAAAGTATGGCGACTGCTCGCTAAAACATCAACGACTTTAAGCATTTGACTTTGCACCTCACGTCAAAAAAGCCTTAACAAACACCTTTAACAATTTACGCTTTGTGTAAAACAGATCAGACCTCCACTTGATTACTCCAGGCATCATGGATAATAATCAGTCAGCTCCTTGCAATCAACTTCATCCATGTTTTCAACACCCTCCCACAACGACTGAGGTATCGGCTTGGCAAGCGCGTTGGCATTACCTCTGTCCTGCTTCTCTATGAATTCTTGCCGCGACTTAATCCCATAATGATGAAGAGCCCATTTCTCATGGGTGACAGGATTTCTCCATGGTCCGGTAGGGTCGCCATGCTCTCCTACCTCCATGTACCCATCTTTCGTTCCAATGTGATGAACATTGTTGACTTGCTGGAAGAGCTCGGTACGGACAAACATCTTAACATGCTTGTTTTCGCCATTGGGATCGTTGACGACACACTTGTCAAAATTCTTGCGGGCACCGCCTTCAGGACGGGTAAGTAATCCTGCCGAGTTGTGGGTGAGCCATTGAGCAGCCACGGCACCGACAGTATCATTGTGCTCCCAATCATGTAGCCATTGCATTAGCGTTTGGCCGTTCCGCATCTCCAGGAACTCGTCAGCGTCTAGAAAACCCATCCATGTGTGGCGCTTGCCATAGTCTTTGATGCACATGTCGCCGTAAATATGGTGATGCATCGGCTCGGGCCGTTCTTCGATTGGGGTGCGAGGTATATAGACAAAGGTAATAGCTGAGCGAGGGATACCGTAATCGGGGAGTATAGAAATTGGTGGTTGGCTTCCATCATCCATGACATAGAAACGTCGAATGCCATGATGATAGTAATAGTGGGGAAACCATTCGAGAAGGTCCACGTGCTGGTTCTTCACAGCCATACATATGGATATGTATTCTTCGTCATCACCAGGAGGGAGGGGGGGATATGGCGTTTTTGTGAATGTTGCTTGTGTTCCGCTGTCTGCAAGAGACGCTAAGTTGTGTGAAGACTTGGTCTTTTCCTTCGAGACGGATTTTTCCTCAGGGTAAGACGCTTCCTTCAGGTCTGAGCTTTCCCTGGAGTGGGGGTATTCCTCTAGGTCCGAACTCTTGCTGGAGGAATATGATGGTTCTTTTAGATTCGTACTCTCGGTAGAAGGATATTGCAATTCTTTAAGACTGTTATCCTGGCTCGAGCTGTGAGAAGTCGAATCAGCAGCCTTGTCCCGCAAAGGCGCTAAGGTTCTTGAAGGCCGCCTGCCCGGGGCGATCCACAGCACAGTGAATAAAGAAAGGGTGACAAGCACGCAGATAGTGAGGACTCGCACGATGCGCTTGGGGCTGAAGACGATGGGCCGATCCCAAAAGTCGTTATTTTGATGTGAGTAGAACATCTTAGATTCGAATCATGCTGCTGCTTCTGTGGGGGAAAATCAAAAAGGTCTGGGAATTCTTTGGTCAAGAATCATATTACGACACTCGAGTGATATACATTTTTATGTACAAGGAGGAATAAAAGCTGAAGAGGGTGCAAAATACCATGCGGCACAAAGCAGTGCCTCTACTTTGTTGGTACTCGTACCTTACTTAGTATTGCAGAATTCCTTGGCAGGGGAAACCCTGAATTATGGAGTACTCGTATTCACTAGGATTTGCAATCTACTAGGATTTGCAATCTCTAAAACTTAATCTTGATAATTTATCATTCCACAACATTATAATAATAAATTCGAAAAAAATTCTTCTAGAATTCGAAATGCGATTTTAATGTTTTTAAGAATTCTTAAAATTAAGATAATAATAATAAATTTATTTAATAGCGTAATAAACTTCGATAACTATATCTTAATATATTACTATAAGTTTAGGCTTATAAATTAAATTTATAATCTATTTTTTTAATTAGAGCTATCGAATAAACTTAATAAGCGATCTTTAATAAATGATATTTAAATTCCTTGCCTTTAAATAATTATAAAACTAAATTTTATTATTCTTTTTTTATTTAAAAGCGTAAATTACGTTTTATAATTTAAAAAAGAATTAATAAATTTTAATAGAAAATAAAAAAGTTATTCTAAAATTAAATAATATATATCTATTTTTTAATTAAGACTATTAAGAAATTTAATAAGCGAAATTTAATAAAAGATATTTAAGCTTCTTAATTTTTAATAATTATAAGATTAAATTTTAAAATTTCTTTAATATTAAAAAGCGTAAACTACGCTCTATATTTTAAAAAAAAATCTAAATTTTAATAGAAAATAAAAAAGTTATTTTATTTATAAATAACGTATATCTATTTTTTAATAAGAAGTTTTAAGAGAATTAGCGAGCTAACTTAGTCGATCTAATTAAAGAGCGTAGTAAATTCGAATTTATAATTAGCTATATATATAAATTTAAGATTTTTTAACTTAACTCTATTTTATTCTTTTATATATATTAATATAACGTTATTAATTTAAGCTTAATTATAAAAAAAATTAAAATTATAATAATTATATTTTATATTCTTTTAACTTTTTTTTCTAGTTTCAAATTATATTATTTTAAAATAATGAATTATAAGAATTAGATTTTAAAGATTGCAAATCCTAGTAGATTGCAAATTCTAGTGAATATGAGTATTCGTACGACTAGTCTAGCGGACGGCTCCAAGCATAAAAGATTTGTCGTCTCCTCTTTACTCTACTTTTATTGTTTATCGAGTCACCATGCACATATATATTCCGTCTTTTTGCAATCATGCTAAAAAGTACACACCTTTGGCTGTAAGCATTTACAGACATTTGCAGACCGGTGCGAAGTCTTCGGGACAGCTACAACGAAGATGCCTTTATTTTCGACGATATTGTTCTACGGTGCGTTTTGATCCAACCAAATGCTGCAAAGCTCTACTCTCTTCTCGCAGTTGGAAATGCACTGGACCCTTAGCGGACAATGCAGGGACCAACGTGACACCAAAACCCTATAACTTGAGCTCGGTCCTGGCTGCTGAAAATCCATGTACAGGAGATATGTAGACCGCAGGGAAGATAGCACAATCGTAACGGAGATAAGTCTCACAAAGGGACCTCCGGTAAGCAGTGGCCCAGCTACATGCCTGGAGCATTTTGACAGGTGTAATTTCAGACGACGCTCTGGCATTTGTAACCTTGATTGAATAAAGTTACCGCCAGCTGGATGACTGACTTCCATGAAGCTCTTTCATCGTCTCAGACTACATTGCCCGAAATAATAGTCATGATCCACTAAGACTCCGTAGTCACTCGGGCCTTCGCATTTGTAACCTTTACCCCCAACTGCTTCGCCTTCGCAACGATATCCACTCTCTTTCTCGATGAAACTGCATGGGAAATCCTGTTTGCAGTCAGCGCCCAATGCGACAATCAAAAAGACGCGATTAAGGAAGAGCAAGTCTATTTACGTACTCTGCCGCGAACGTCTTGTTGTGCATAAGCAGAAGGTCAACATCTCTGGAATTGTGGACAACGAAGGCTTTGTGGCCAGAAGGCATCAGATGCCGGGTTTTCTTATTGGAACCGTATCCTATCTAAATCGTGGTACTTCAATCAGCCTCTCTCCTTAGCAATATAATTTGCCGACCATATTTTCGGCGGTCTGAGAAGCAGGCAACATTCGTGCCCATAAGTTTCTTCTCAATAACGCACTAGTTGCATAGTACAAAACGCACATACCGAAGGCATAGCAGCTTGACCCTTGAAACGTCTGCGGACTCGGTTGTCGATACCCTTGGGCTTCCGCCAATTTGCGTCGACACATTTGTAGGTGTCGCTCTGGTGACGATTGAAGCGCTTCGTGCCTGCAGAACGAATGATCAGCAGAATCACTATTGACTGCTGCCATAAAAATGTAGCGGAGGTGGAGCGGTTTGTGAGAAGCTCGAACAACGGGTTGACTTACGCTTTTTCACGATCTTAATGTGCTTTTTCGCGGCAGCCATCTGGAACGCTCAAAGGCTCATCAGCAGCCATCTATATCAGGAGTGCCCGCAGTTGTTGGAGACATACCCTGACCTAGGTGATCGATGTTAACGTGATGTTTGGAATCGAATTTCAAGGACGGCAATGTTCAAGTGCTACTAGCTTCTGCGCTAGTGGTTAAGCGATAATTCCCAGCAGAGTTAGGGTTAGGGCAAATCTGTCACAGCTAAAGTAATGTTCGTAACCTCTAATGGGGCTTCGTTGCGTGATATTTAGTAGAGGATAGCCACGAACATTTTTACGGATTTTCATCGAGCCAAATTATGTGGGTGGGAGTGCTCTATCCATCTGTCCTTATACGTCGTTCTCACCAGTGCTCTATGTGCGTCTGGCGAAATCCTCGCGTTCATGAGCACGCTGGATGCTTGATGCTTCTTTTCCGCGGTACTCACTGCTGGGCACATTGAGCCTCGCCTTCTTCTTCATCCTCGTCGTCAACCCACCCTTCGTCGCCTTCGGCACTTGCTCCGAACTCGTTCAAGTTGGCAGTTTCGTCGTAAGCAACATCATCAACGACGTCAGCTTGTATTGGGGTTTCGGGAGTCGGTAGGAGTTCTTTCAATTTTGCAAGTACCTGCTTGTCTTCAAGCCATCCATGCTCTGGGAACTTGACCTTGACCACCAAGTACAAATCTCCCTTTAACTCACTTTTCTTGTGAGGCATTCCTTCACCCACCACCTTGATGACTTGGCCCGGCTCCAAAACACGTGCATTAGGCTGAGAATGTTGGATGTGGAGACCTCTACCATCCAGGTGCTTCACGATCACTCGCGAAAAGCCACATAGAGATTCGACTAGAGTGATTTCAATTTCCGCCAACAGATCAGCGCCTGCCCTTTTGAATGTCTCGTGTTCGGTCTGCATGAGGCCGAAGATAATGTCACCGGGCTCTTGATCGGGTACCTGATCCGCCTCACCTTCCAGAGTTATCTTGTCTCCTTCTCTGCAGAAGATCAGCAAAGTCGACAAAAGGTAGGAGTAGGAGTATGAGGGCTCTAACTTTGAACCTCTTGGAATGTAGATTTCCAAAACCTTCCGTGCTTCTGTGACACGCTCACCCTTGCACTTTTTGCATTTGTCTTTTTGAGCATATACACTTCCTTTGCCTTTACACGAAGCGCATACGACTGTTTCTTGGGTAACCAGGCCTGGTCCGATAGACCGTAGTCCTTGCTTGGAGCCTGTGATCGCGCATCAGTGGAGCCATTCTTTGAGCCCATAACGTCTTGAACGTACCCTTGCCCTGACACGAAGCGCACTGCTTTGCCTTTGCCTTCTCCTTGCCGCCACTTCCCTTGCAGTGGTTACATATGACGTTCTTTGTGCTCGCAAATTTTGTGGTCTTTCCCTTGTATAGATCCTCTAATGTGACCTGATAGGGATGCTCCTCATCATCACCCTTTCTGGACCTTCTCGGTCCTGGCCCACTGAAACCCGGCGGCATACCGCCCCCCATGCCAAACATCTGTGAAAGCATTTCTTCAAGATCGGGACCTGCGCCCATACCATTGCCATGAGCGCTGTCAAATGCAGACATGCCATGGGTATCGTATAAATGTCTCTTGTCATCATCGTATAGGATTTCGTAGGCTTTGCTGACTGATTTGAACTTGATTTCTGCGCTAGCTCTCTCGCTCTCGGCCACCTTATCCGGATGGCTAGATAGTGCTGCCTACACATTATCAGCTGAGAAAACCAAAGTAGATAGGAAAGTGGACCTTATGATATGCTTTCTTGATTTCCGACTTGCTTGCACCACGTCCAACCTCTAAGACCTCTATGATCCCATGAGTACAGGTAACAGCGCAGAAACGATTGCCAGCTAACCGTACAAGTCTGTGTCTTCGGCAGAGCTATCCACTGCTCGTAGTCAGCTGTGTATCTTCCTTTAGACTGCAGAGACTTACTCTCCGTGAGGGTCTAATGGAAGACCTCACAGTGGGCTAAATGGTCATCTCAAGTGTCACATAGGAGATTGCTTCTGAGGCGTAGGTGTAATATGAATGAAGAGTGTGAAAGAAATCGGGGATTGAGCAGGAAGCAATAAGGTTTATAGTGCCTGAGACAAAATTCTAGTTCACTGCGCGGAGAAAGCGCGCTAGAGGTCAACCGCCTAGGTCCCCAGATTTCTTGAGCAGCTGCTCCCTACCAAAAAGCCCAGGACTCTTATTAAGAAGGTCTGATACGTTATGACGGTGCCTAGGCGAACCATTGTATCTGGAAGTAAAGCTTGGATCTGTTGCAGATGCCGGGCCCTATCTACAGCTAACAAGCCAGATGTAATAGAGAGGCGGCCTTCACAAAAGCTACCCACAACCCCAGCAAGGACTCGGTTTGCCCCGTCACCCACAGGATATCTTCATTTGGGTTCCTTACGTACGGCGTTGTTCAACTATCTAACTGCAAAAGCTACCGGGGGGAAGTTTGTATTACGGATTGAAGACACAGACAAAGTTGGTCCAAACATCGACTCAAGGAAGTGGAACGATTCACATGGCTGATAGTCGAAGAAAAGGATTGTGGATGATGCGGAGAGCAGGCTATATCAGGACCTGAAGTGGGCTGGTTTACAATGGGATGAGGGTATGCAGAGGAGCATTGAATAATTCGACGATTCTATATTTCTGATGGAGTCCCCAGGTCCTGATATTGGAGGTCCTTATGGACCGTACAAGCAGGTACTAATCGCATGTGAAATAACCAAAGACTCTCCTGACATACGTTTAGTCCGAAAGAACATCTATGTACCAGAGCCATGCAGAGAAGCTGCTGCGATCTGGGCACGCTTATCGATGTTTTTGTTCCACAGAGCGCTTAAAGAGCCTTGCGATGGGAAGGAACGGCCTTGGTCTATCCAGCGACTATGATCGAACTTGTACCAGCCTCCCAGCTGGAGAGTCGGAGGAACGTGCTTCCAAGGGTGAACAACATGTTGTTCGATTGAAGCTTCCTGAGGTCCCACCCACGTACACAGATCTGGTTTACGGAGTCGTTGGCCAGCGTAAAAGTAAAGAAGGAGCACATGCGCCACGCCCACAGCTTAGCTTCGAAGACCCAATTCTCATCAAGTCTGATGGTCATCCAACCTATCATTTGGCGAACGTCGTTGACGATCACCACATGGGAATCACGCATGTCATTCGTGCAGTGGTACGTGGATCCGGATTTGCGAAATTGATGCAATCATCAATTGACTTGGCTAGGAATGGATGCCCTCAACTCCCAAACACATAGTAATGTATAATGCATTCGATTGGAAGCCGCCAACCTTTGCCCACGTCGGGTTGTTGCAGGATGCATCGCGGCAGAAATTCAGCAAACGGAACTTGGCTCTTGACATCAACTCTTTTCGGCAAGACGGTATATTTCCAGAGGCTTTGGTCAACTACGTTGCCTTGTTTGGCTGGTCGCACAGGCTAGGTGTCGATCAATTAAATTTGCAGGATCTCGTGCAGAATGTACGTTCGGCTCTGACGACCTAATTCGCAACCATCTGTTGACATCTGCCAGTTCGACCTTAAGTTTACGAAAGGTAATACCATAGCAGCACCGAATAAACTTTTTCACCTTCAAAAGCAGTACGCCCAACAGTATGCCGAAAAGGAAGAAGGAGAGGAGTACCTAGCAATGATTGATAAAGTCCTTGCTGTCGCAGAGGAGCACCTGCAAGCACATCCCGAGTAAGAAAGACCCTCCAATTGTCGTAGATCCCCTCTAATGGCTTTGTATTTTCTAGGAGTAGGATCTATTCAACTAGCGAGCTCAAAGAGCGCATTGCTGCTTTGTTGAATGTCGACGCAAAGAACTATACCACACCTGTACAATTTGTCGAGCGTAATGCCCACTTCTTCTTCATCGAACCTCGAGATAAATACAGACACGGACCGAACGATGCCGGATTGACTGAAAATACTGGCAGAATCGCAGATCATCTCAAGGCAAGCTTGCCTGAGCAGTGGGACGAACTAAGTCTCAGGGAAGCTTTTGACAATATGGCTAATACCCTTTCAACGGAATCGGGTCCGAACTCTGAGAAAGCTTCCCGAGCTTCTGTGCAACATTTCTTACGATGGGCCCTGACAGGAGGTCGTCCGGGTCCAACCCTGATACTTACAATGAGTATACTCGGCAGAGATGTGTCTCTGAAGAGAATTGAGGACGCCACGGCAGTGCTAGAGAAGATGGGGTTCGAAGCCAACAAACGCTCAGCTTAAAGTAAATGAATATGATCAGATGTGGTCAGCACAATCGATTCGTAATTTCATTGCTCATTGTCTGTCTAGATGCAAGATCCCTCGAGGTCATGCCTTCGACGCATTGTCTTCACGGGCAATCGTAGCTCCAACGGTATTGAATAGCTTTGCCTTGAACTCGCTGACCAGGAGTCCTGTGACTTCCTCACCCGCAATCTTGTTGCTATCACGAATGACCTTGTCCAGCTGTGTGTCCTGGCCGTTGAATCTATGCTGTCCTCCCCGTGAACCTGCTTTGACATTCTTCTCCGCTTGTCGAATCTTCTCGCTCAAATCCAACATTTGCTTGCTGCCGTACTCACGATTGGTGAACAGTGGACTCTGGCTGAGCGTAGATACCCAGTACTTATTCCACAGCAGTTCCAGTAGATGTGAGTCCAGCGTGCTCTTAAAATGTGAGATCTCTAAGGAGTAGTATCTGCTTGCGTGTGCGCCGAAGTCCTCGATCTTTGCGAGTGGTATTGTCTGATAGCCATCTCCTCCGCCGCTTGCTGCTGGCTGGTAATCTTTGGGGAATGTTCGAAAAGCGCCAATCTCCACCTTGCCGGCAGAAATCGTACGGTCTGGATCTATGACCACAGCGAGAAAAGGGTCTTGAAACATTTGCTGCGTCAATTGGGTGTCGACGTCGATTCCCGATAGCCAGCACCCGTAGCCCGGATGGCTGTGATACCACCCAATGGCGTTCTCTGCACGCCCATTCTCTCGACATGACGCTAGATATTGGACAACGTACTCGTTGGCCTGGTCTGATGCGTTAACTCGGGTCTCGGTGCCTTCGACAGGCAACCTGAAAGCGTCCGTAACAATGAATGCGTCACCCGAGATTTTTCCTTGCATAAGGCCCATGACTTCTATTGATCCTCCAGAGCGTGCATGCATTACCATCTTGAGCAGAGCGACAGCAGAAATGCGGACGTTTTTGAAGTGGTGTGGATCTTTCTTCCATGGACCTTCATTGCTGATACTTTTTTGCTCAGCATCGTCGTAGGCATAGAGGGCGTCGCGCTGAGGATCAACCAGCTTGGCGGCATTTTCAAGCTCTGCTTTCAATAAGTATAAGACCAGGTTGAGTGAACATGGGGAGATGCTCACCCCAGACTTTCTGGAATCTATCCATCTTCAAGGACCAAGAGTCATCAGGGAGGTAGTATCATGTTGGATAGAGTGATTTTGTAATTTGTATGAGCAGGAGCTTGAATGTACTGTTTGACTCTATGTTGGCGCGGAAGAAAGTAAAGCCGACGGCGAGAGACATGCTATCGATAGTCGTCATGGCAACTCACCCGCATCTGAAAACACACAGTTTGTGGAGAAACACTCTGCCGACTGATGCCATAAGTGCAGAAGAATTCTCACTTTCACTGGTACATCAATCGCACGCATTTGATAGGTCAACAAATAGAGTTCCTTTTGTTCTGATACTCGGGCCACCCTGCAAACTCGGCTTCGAGGCCCCAAGTCACGGAGACCTGAAATCGGCCAGTCATGGACTCGAATTATCTCACTACGCAGGTATCTACCATCATCGGCCAACTACATGGATTGTTCGACGAGATTGGCGTCCCCAGTCACGAGAGGGAATCAAGAGAGTCGGAGGTACGAGCTGAGATATCAAAGGTTAAAGACAAGTTCTGACATGAAACACAGCTCTTCACTGCTCTGTCGGAAACACTACATAATCAGCTGCGCTTGGTCACAGCGTAAGCTCCAATCGCCGTCTTGATCTCTCAGATCCTACTGACCATTCATAGCGAGAAAAGCGAGCTTACCGAAGAGGCTCACCGAATGATCAAGACAATCAAGCAGATGGAAGCGTCGCTGGAAGATCCCGCACCTAATGATGCGTACTTGCTAGAAGATACGGAGCTGAAAGTCACTGTACCTCTCACACGATGCCTACAAGGTCTGAAGGAGAAGCGCAACACTATTGCCAAAATCCACCGTGAGAGGTTCGAGCAGGTCAAAAGTAAGATATAGAACAAGTCGAGGGTATGAGCGCTAACGCATTACAGAACTCGTTCAGGCGCTGGAGTCCTATTCTTCCCATCTCGAGCCATCATTCATTCAAATCACGCTACCGCCCACATCAAATAATTCCTCGCTTCCCCCAACTTTCGACCTTTCACCATCATATATCGCATCACTCGACAATGAATTTTCCCGGGTGTATGAGGAGTACACACGGCGGATTGCCTCCGTCAAAGGTCTGGCGGAAGATATAGTGAACCTTTGGGCAGAGCTAGGCACACCGCAAGCCCAAACAGAAAGTTCGATCGTGAAGTACTACCGAGAAGCCCCAGAGCAATTAGGACTCCACGAACACGATATCCAGCGATTGCAGGCCAAACGCGACAGGCTCATTGAGGAGAAGCGAGGCCGTGAACGAAAGTTGAAGGAGCTAAGGAGTACCGTTGAAGGCCTTTGGGATCGTCTTGGTGTGCAAGAGACGGACCGCAAGCAATTTCTAGCTGGAAATCGAGGATGTGGATTGAGAGTCATCAATGAATTCGAGGCGGAGCTGGATAGGTTGAATGAGTTGAAGCGACAAAATCTGCACCTGTTCGTTGAAGATGCACGGTATAAGCTTCAGGAGCTATGGGATTGTCTCTATCTTTCCGAGGAAGAGATGCTTGAATTCGCACCGGCATTTTCTGACGTCTTCAGCGACGCTCTACTTTCGGCACATGAGGCGGAAATCTCGCGCCTTGAAGTATTGAAGGAGCAGCGCGCGCCTACCCTGCAGTTAATCGATAAACATCGATCATTGATCACAGATCGAGACGATCTGACAGCTGCAAGCCAGGATGCTTCGCGACTCTTGGGAAAGAACAACAAAGGAGAAAAGCGTGATCCGACCCGACTGTTGAGGGAAGAGAAAATGAGGAAAAGGATTGCAAAGGATCTGCCCAAAGTTGAGGTGGAACTCAGGAAAACTTTGGAGCGTTGGGAGGATGACTACGGCCGGCCTTTCCTAGTTCATGGAGTACGGTATTTGGACGAATTAGTGGCAGCAGCTGCAAAGAGCTTGCCACCAAGATCAAAAACTCCCTCAGGCCCAGCACCGACGACACAAAAAGTACCACTGAAATCTGCCCCAGCGCCATCATCATCACGAGCTGGTAGTGTCATGCGTGCTTACCCACCTTCTCGATCTGCCACAGCAACACCAGCAGGTACACTTAGACGAAATCCTATGGCAAGCTCAGTCTCTACCACTGGAGGAAGAACGCCGTCTAAGATTCCAGCTCGTGTTCCATTGGGCAATATGCAGCACGGCGGTAACTCACCAGAGCGACGTGCAGCTGCACTAGGGCCATCATACGACACTAGCACCATGCGAAAGATGGGGCCACCTGCGAGGGCCCCACCTCCAATGATGAGAGACTTGTTTGTACCTCCCAATGCGACTCCCTCTAGTGCTTATGATGTGGAGAACATGCGATGCGAGAGTGCTGCATCATCAACCACTGGGAGCGTTCGGCAGATCACACCAGAGGATGTGTATGATGACCGAGAGCGTATGTCATACGTACCAACATCCATAATGCAGTCAGAGCGAAACACACCTCAAAATTACCGAGACGCGCAAGCTTCAGCGCGGTACGATACTCGTCACCAACAATACATGCCAGTTGCCGATAGCAGACAAATATCAACAACGTCGACCTCGACGACGGCCGCTTCTGGATCGGAGAATTGGGAGACCTTTGACGACGCTTCTGAGCCGGAGGTAGATCTAAGCGAAGCGTACTATGCTAAGCTGCGAGCTGCGAAGACCGGGAAGCGCTTTGAACCAGAAGGAGGGTACACACCACCCCGTCCTGGGAAAAAGGTTAAAAGCGTGTACGGCACCGGAATCAATGGTCAAAACGTGATCGAGGAAGAAAGTGGAGAAAGTGGGCGCAGGCTTGTTACGGGAAGCGAGTCTGCTTGGACGGATGAAGATGCCTTCTGAATACCGAAGGTCACGACTTACGGAACTGTTACTTCGGATCATGGACATGGTTTTTGTTTCTTGCTCATATTCCAAGGATTTGGAAAGATCCCACCAAGTGAATAGGAGGTTGCCAGTCCAAGATAGGCGTCAACCGGTGAACACGTGGCCGGAAGCATTGTTTGAATGTATCTTCTCTTCCCTTCTTCTTCTTCAGTGTATTGAATTGCGCGAGGCCAAAATATGAGGTCGGCCACTATTCGTCCGGTGACATGCACATTACCATGGATCTTCAGCTCGGCGGAATGTGGAAAAAGCATGAACCGAAGAAGTACCTTCTATGTCAGCGACCCTATTTGGGTTGGTGATATTTGTCAGTGTTGATAATAGCATACACATGCATTTTGTTCTCGTATACAACGTCCGTGCAAGGTTTGATACATCCATATTCCGAAGAGTTAAAGACAAGAAACATCCAATGGGAACTGAATACTTGCCTGGTTGAGGGGCATCTGGATTCTGTGTACAACTACACAGATGACTCTTGAGCGAGGCTTGTGGAGTTCGGGGGCAAATCCCCGTGTCGCTCTGTTGGTTTGAGGCTGGGACATTTTGAACTGTTCTATTCGATAGATGACACCTACTTCTGAGCCTTCGTGCTGTACTCTATATGTTGATTCGCGGAATGCTAACTTTTGCTCGTGGATGATTTCCTCGTTCATGGGTATCTTGGAAACTCCCTGACCAGAAGAATATCCGCGCTCAATGTTGATGCCGGGATACCTTGACGCCATGCAAAAGCCGCACACTATTCCACAAGGACTCGGAAACCATAAAAGGTAGCTTCCTACCCTTCAATCGCTGATCGATCAGCCACATCCCTACGACAAATTCATTTCGTTTGAGCCTGTCACCACCTTGAATGTTTACCAAGTCCCAGATGTCTGCGAGAACATCGTTTGGGAGACGGCTCCGGCTCCAGATGTCGCGGACCACAAGGTTGAGGACGCTATCCGATGAATCGGCGTCCATCCAAAGTCCCTTGTTAGCAGCCCACACACCGTCATACCTTCGTCTCTCCCGTTCCGTCACAGTAGCCCTATACCTTTTCCGATTCCCTTCATGATGTTTGTGTGGATGCTTCCTCGTAAGGATGCTTTTCTTTTTGTATTCTACTTCGTCATCTGACGGTAATGGTTCTCGCATTGTCTGCCTCAAAACCTTTGCTGGACTTGGGGTGCGAGACATCTGTCCCTGGCTATGGTGATTATGAAATAGAGAATGCGACTTGTGACGACGGGGCGGTGGTGGTGGCGGTTTCGTCGGAGAAGGCGCACGGGATGAAGCCAGCGAAGCGGCGACAATAGTGTTGGCCAACGAATCAACCTTTGTCTCAAAGCTTGTTGAAGATCTGACTGGTAGAAGAGGACGTGAAGGTGAAGCGGAAGATAGTTTCAAAGGCAGAAATGCTGGGTCTGACCGAGGTGCTTGTAAAGCAGTGCCCGGCTCCGCAGGCCGAGCTTGAGCCAATGCTAACGAGGCACTTTCCTTCGGAATGTCAGTTACACTTTTCTGGCCGCTTTCTGATAATGAATTCAGTGGCGCATAAGCTCCGGATCGGCGTGGAGCTGGGGGTTCGGGCACAGTGCGTGGTAAAAGCATCGGATGTGCTGGTTTACTTGACCTTGATGTTGCTGCTCTGGCTCGACCAACTGATTGCGCAGCCGCAGCTGCAGCACCGGTATCCGTGATGTTCGAAGGGTCTGAAGCTGTGAAACCCCTTTCTAGCTCAGATGCACAAGGGAATGTACCTAGCGAACTAGTAGTGGATAACCTTATCGCTGGCTTGATTGGTGTTGGACTTGCAATTGCTGATGTAGGCTTGGTCACGTAACGGATCGAATGGGTAATAGGAATATTCTTTTTGTGGTTTTGCTTGGATTCGAAGAGACTCACGAGGGAACTAGTAGCTCCTCCGACGGCTCCGTCTGTCGAGCGAGATATCGCCGCTGGCGTGTTGACCCTGTAATCCATAATATTCTGTAAGGGTGACGGCTGGCGCGAATTTGGTGTCGAATCGCCAGACTTTTGAGTGTTGACAGGCGTGGACTTGGAGGTAGCATGCAAAGCGGCAGCGTAAGAAGGTGACTGCTCTCGTGACCTTCCAACTTTCTCCGAGGCACCAGACCGACGAGGCATCTTCGTAGAAAGCCTTTCCTCCTTTTGACCGTTTGAAGTGGCCCCCTCGACGAGTTGGACTCCCTGCCTTCGCATTCCCATTCCAGCGGTCGTAGCTGCGGCGAGAGCTCCATTAGTGCCGACGTGAGACTTTGGCAAGGATTCTGCCGGGGCAACTAGGGAGAAGGCACGGAAAGCCCCTCGAAAAGCCGTCGATTGTCGTCCCACATCGCGGGAATTCGTGTTCGAAGGGGAGTGATCCCTGGAGGCGCGAGAGGTCATGAACCATGGGCTTTATGGAGAGCCGTGGCCACCCTCGCACATCAACGGCGGAACTCCATATGCTTTGGGTATCGTGCTTCAAATGGGATGCCGCACCAGACTTTCTGGCATCGTGCAACAAGATATCGCAGAGCTAAAGTATGTTTGGATTTGGAAAGTGACATTCCGCGGCTCGGCGGATAGGGTTCTAATCCTCGGCAACACGCGCGCTGAATTCTACCCTGCAGCCTGCTTCAATACGCGCTGATTGGTCTATTCACGATTGAATCTACTTAATCCTATCCTTTATTGCCCCCTTCGTGAACAATACTCCAGAAGACAATCAACACCATACTACCTCAACCTTGGAAGCGTCGTGCATCTTCATGGCGCTCATCCTGACAGTCATGATTACTTTACTTACAGCGAGCTATCGGCCCGAGCAAGCAGAGACCAAGACCAGCTTCGCGTGGAGAACAAATTGCTCATGCCGCGTTTGAGGACAGCGTGCGCAACTTCCGACGATATCAAGGTGTGGTTTGAGTCTTCTGATAGCGGCGGTGTCTGACTGTCGCCGAGTTCGAATGTGGGAGTGATGTAGGGTTTCCTCTTTTTCCTGATCATAGTTCGTTGCTCGAACGCGTATGCTAGCGAGATCAAGGTCTCTTCGCTCCACTGACGGCCTACAAATGCAATCCCAAACGGAACGTTAGGACCAACATTGACCAAGGTGCCCTTGAGATTCATGGCAATTGCTGTGTCAGGAGGATAGAAACCCAACGGGACCGTAACAATGGGAAGCCCTCCGATCGAAGGGAGATGGAAAGAGGCAAATGTTGGCATTACCAACGCATCGAGACCAAACCGATCGAGAGCTCCTATTATGCCCTGCTCCTCAGCCATATGCAGATTGGCTTGATATGCGTCATAAGACTCTTTAGACTCGTTAGTGATATTAAGGTCAAAGTCCGAGTCCCAAACATGAGTCTATTCAAGTGTTAGTCTCAATCTGCAAAGGCAGCAAATTTAGACATACGTCGCGATCAGGATACTCCTCGCGAGAGTCGTCTTTTGTGAATCTTTTTATATCAGCCAGATTCTTTACGTTATTAGGGTTCGTCTTCAACATTCCCAGATATGCTGAGAGTCCAGCAGTGAAGTCGGTGCGCATTATAACATTGCTGTTCCGGGAAAACGCAGGGACATCGAACAGAGCGAAATTGGCTTCGTCAACAACACTTGCCCCGGAATCTCGAATGAGATCGAGCGCTGCTTCGAAGGCAGCCATGATTGGCTTCGTGTTGTTGTCAAGGAAGTGATCGATACCATTTCGAGGTACACCAAGACGAGCGCCCTTGAAGGCCGAGTAATTACAGGCCTTGACATAATCAGGCACCTTGTCAAAGGGCTGGACAGAGGTCCAATTGTCATTTGTATCTTTCCCGGCTATTGCGCTCAGCAAAATGGCGGCATCCTTCACACTCTGTGCTACAGGTCCAATGGAGTCTTGGCGGATACTTATGGGAATGACCATACTTCGCGATGTGAGACCCAAAGTTGGCTTGATGCCAACGATGTTACTTTTCTCGGCTGGCAGAACGATACTCCCACTGGTTTCGGTGGCTAACGCTCCCAATGCGAGACCCAATGATGCCGCCACGGCACTACCACTGGAGCTTCCAGAGGGATCTTGTCGAGGATAGTACACTCCGAGACATTGACCGCCATAGGCGCTCCATCCATGAGAAGAGCTCGCTCTGCCCGACCTCCATTGCGCCCATTCTCCCATTGTAGCCTTGCCTAACATGACAGCCCCTGCTTCTCTCAATTTCGTGACCACGGTTGATTCACGAGAGACTGAGGCCCCAAGCAGCGCAAACGAACCAGCTTTTCTTGTTAGCTCTTTGCTGAGAACGGGACAAGATATACTACCTGTGTTGTTCATTCGATCAAGGGTCGCGATGTTATCCTGTAGAAGTAAGTACGTGCTTTCTGGGTATCAGACGAAGAGCTGTAACCTTAATGAGTACCGGAATTCCATGCAGAGGCCTTCTTCTGTCAGCCCTGAGCTGCACGAATGTCTTGGTCATAGATTTCCTTACCCTCGTACGCGGCCAGCAGCACGCTCGTTGTCCAGATTCTGCGCAATAAGGAAGGCATCTGGATTGACCTCACTCACAGCATGAAGAAGTGGATTGACTTCGCTTATACGTTGAATGTATGCCTTTGACACTTAGCTTTAAACAACAGGTAGATAGAGACGAAGGAAGAACATGCATGCACGAGGTCTACGCTTCTCATCAAGCCGCTGGCTTGAAGAGCACTGAGGTCTTCAATACTGGCCTCGTCCAGACGTAAGGCTGAATGAAGTGTTGTTCCTGGACATGGGTAAGTCACGGAGTCGCCTGCGGCGCTTAGTCCAGCAGCGAGTACAAGATAAGAAACGTACACCAGCCATCCCACGCGGAGGCTGATCCCGAGCATTAATTGTACCCGTAGAAGTATTACGGGACAAGACGATCTAAACTGATGGGCGAGCGTGGGCCAAGGATTGTAATGGTGAAGACAAATCAGGTTGAGTGTTGAAGAAGAGAGTAGGCGAACGCGAAGAGAGTAAAAGACAAAACCCTTGCCAAGGGACCAAAGGCGAAGGAGACGATTTGGCTTGTTAGATAAGTAAACGGAGGGGATTAATTTCCCAACGTAGTAGCACATGACAGCAAAGGGGAGATAAGCGTGAGCAAGTTGGCCTGACAAAGGTCTTCAATACTACTGGCTCACGTCGCCCAACATTCCGAAACCTTCTCCAATGCCGCATTTTGCAATATCAAACGGGCGCCTTTGACATGGGACAGATAGGGAGGAACGAGGGGGGAAATAATGAAACGTAAGGTAGCTCTGGCACCAGAGTCCAGAAGACACGTCGATGTTTAGATCTCCCGCCGGTAGTTAGATAAGCGATTGGCTTTTCCTCACCAGGATCCTCCCATGGATCTGATACCGTTCATTGGATTTGTTAGTGTACTTGTAACTATACAGAAAAACTGAATGCTGTATCAGGAGGAGAAGGAAAGATGTCTTTTCGCCTTACAATTTCGAACAGTCAGTGGAACCGGAATTTTCTTATGAACGGGAGAATGGGGGGGGGGATGTCAAGGCTAGACAGGGTTTAGTGCATCACGTGCAGTCGTGCTGATTGACCAAGGTACCTGCTTTACCTTACATACAGGACTTAAAGTAGGTTGCCACTCATGTTGCCTAGACTCGCTAGAATAAGGTACCTAGTGTACAAATCCTTATGTGTTGTACAGAAATATAGACCCTGTTGAGAAAATTGCCGACGTTCAACAGCACTACGAGTATCTGCTGATATTGTTGTCATTGTCAAACATAGCACTTATATCAAGACCAAAGCCAGAGTTGCACACATGCCAGACTCATTGATGGATGATGCAGGGAGTGCCGGCACCACCGGTGATGGTTCAATGTATGCCCAGGTCCTTAGAGACGAGGAACTGGATGAGAAATTCCCGAATCGGCCGCGGAATCACTCCAAGACTCTTCCATTTCATGATCTTTTCTTGGCTCTCTTCAATCCATTAAATGACAACAAAAAGAAGCCCACTGGTCCAGTTATGGCAAGAAAGAAACAGGGCCCCCATGGACCGACTAGCCAAAACCCACATGAGATTCGCCAGAACATCATCGAGCGTTTCATTTCGAGATGGAGGAAAGAGGTAGGCAATGACATCCACCCGGCTTTCCGCCTTATCATCCCAGAGAAGGACAGGGAGCGAGCTATGTATGGTCTCAAAGAGAAGACCATAGCAAAGCTACTGATCAAGATTATGAGACTTAACAAAGATGCCGAGGACGCATACAGTCTGCTCAATTGGAAACAGCCTGGACAAAGTTCAGTCAGTAGGATGGCCGGGGATTTTGCAGGTCGTTGCTACGAAGCCATCTCCAAAAGACCCATTCTTACCGAAGTCGGAAACATGACAATTGGCGAAGTCAATGACCTTCTTGACAAGCTGTCTGCCGCTCAGAAAGAAGATGCCCAAGAGCCGATTTTTGCAGAGTTCTATAAGAGGATGAACGCTGAGGAGATGATGTGGTTGATTCGAATCATCCTCCGTCAGATGAAGGTAGGGGCTACAGAAAAAACGTTCTTTAGTATTTGGCATCCCGACGCGGATAGTCTCTTCAACGTGTCGTCCAACCTTCGCCGCGTCTGCTGGGAGCTGTACGATCCCTCCCTTCGATTAGAGGGGGAAGAGCGGGGAATCACGTTGATGCAGTGTTTTCAGCCACAACTGGCTCAATTTCAGATGAACTCTCTCCAGAAAATGGTCGAGAGGATGAAGCCTACCGAAGATGATTCTGTATTCTGGATTGAAGAAAAGGTACGTTGTGTCGGAGTCCAGATATCCTCTTCTTAGACCAGGCATCGAAGTCTTGCGTCCTGTTACAAATTCTCTATTTCACGGATATGTTTGGGTTTCCGGGAAACCACTTCGAACAGGCAGTGCTGACCCCCTTATCCTCACCAGCTTGATGGGGAGAGAATGCAACTTCATATGATCAGCGACAACGAGATACCTGGAGGAAAAAGATTCGGCTTCTGGTCACGGAAAGCAAAGGAGTATACCTACCTCTACGGCAACGGGTTTGAGGATCCGAATTCGGCGCTGACCCGGCACCTCAAAGAAGCATTTGATGAGGGAGTAGAGAACATTATACTCGATGGTGAAATGATCACATGGGACCCCGAGCAAGATGCAATGGTACCGTTTGGGTATGTGCAACTAGGAGCGATTCCTTCCTAAGTGGTACCACGGTTTGAGTTCTAAAGCATGTTTCGAGAGCACAAGGCTCTGAAAACCCCAAAAATCCTTTTTCGAAAGAAGATATACTTACTCCAAATCAATTGTAGGACGCTTAAGACAGCGGCCCTCGCTCAACAACAGAATGAATTTGCGACAAAGAGCATTCGACCGCTCTACAAAGTCTTCGACGTCCTCTACCTGAACAGTCAAGCGATAACAAATTATACATTACGCGATCGTAGAAGAGCACTCGAACGGACTGTCAAAGGCGTCGCTCGAAGGATGGAAGTTCACACCTACGAAGAAGCCAAAACTGCTACAGCAATTGACCCTCTCCTGCGCAAAGTTGTGGCGGAGGCATCTGAGGGCTTAGTACTCAAGAATCCTCGTTCCTCGTATCGCCTGAACGAACGTAGTGATGATTGGATGAAGGTCAAACCTGAATATATGACAGAGTTTGGTGAAAACCTTGACTGCCTCATCATTGGTGGCTATTACGGTTCAGGTCATCGCGGCGGTAGATTATCATCCTTTATGTGCGGTCTGCGGGTTGATCGAAATCAGATAAGTCAAGGCGCCAATCCAATGAAGTTCTATTCCTTCTTCAAGGTTGGAGGTGGCTTCACTGCAGCGGATTACGCTGAATTACGGCATCGAACTGACGGTAAATGGAGGAAGTGGGATTCCAGGCACCCACCCACTGAATACATTGCACTAGGCGGAGATCAGCTGCAATTCGAACGGCCAGACGAGTGGATTCTACCTATTGATTCGGTTGTAGTCGAGGTTAAAGCCGCGTCCGTTGCAGTAACAGATCAATTCAAGATGGGATTCACTTTGCGCTTTCCCAGATTCAAGAAGCTTCGTACCGATCGTACCTGGGAGACTGCGCTCTCAATAACAGACTTCATCACCCTTAAAGGAAATGCTGAGAAGGAGGGAAAAGAAAAGCAATTCAAGATTGACGATAGCAGGAGGAAACGACAGCGAGTACCAAGGAATAAGCTTCTTACGGTAGCAGGTGCTGAGGTTCTCTGTGATGTGCCAGTTGGTAAGAAAGCGATCAACGTATTCGAGGGTCTGAACTTCTGTACGTTCTGGCAAGACCTTCCCAACAGAGTCAAGCTAAGACACAGAAGATATAATGACAGGATCTCAGAAACCAGAGAAGAAGTCCAAAGCGGAATTGGAGCATCTGGTCAAGTCCAATGGTGGCAAGATCGTCCAGAATGATTCAAGACCCGGCACAGTCTGTATAGGCGACCAGAGTAGGTTTTCTTGGAGCATCGACTGCTCAAAGGTGCTAATGGCACATAAGGGACCGTCCACGTTGCTTCTTTGTGCAAGCGTCGCAGTGTTAATATAATCAAATCATCTTGGGTTTTCGACAACATCCGGCAGAGCGAAGCGGACCAAGGCAGGCCTACGTTGCTACTGCCTTTAGAGCCAAGGTAGGATGTTTAGATCTCATTAACGGAAGGCATTATTTACTCTCGGCAGGCACATGTTTTTCACCACTGCGGAATCAGAATCTCAAATTGAAGGTGCTATAGATGAATACGGCGATAGCTTTGCCAGGGATATCACAGTGGGAGAGCTCAAAGAGGTGCCGACATTCTCAGCGCCTTTCGAGAAAAAGAATGGAGAGACTGACCTTTGACCAGATTTTCAACTCCAAGCCTGCCAAGTTCGAGCACAGCTTCAGTGCCAAGGAATTCAAAAGCGAGCTTGAGCAGCACGGACACGATCTGGGGGAGCTTCCAGGCTGGATGTTTGAAGGCTTGCTTCTCTACACTGACGGACAGCTTGCTAATGACGCTTCCTTGACGGACGAGAAATCGGATTTCAGGATGAAGCAAGCCTGTGATACTGCTAGGTTTGCTGGAGCGCGTCTCACGAACGATCTGAAGGAAGGCATCACGCATGTCCTCGTAGGAGAGGACAGAAGCACTACAAGGGCTTTGAGACAGAAAACATCCGAGTAACGCTGACGAAGCCGAGGATTTCCTGGGTGTACGTCTACTGACGTCGACTCAGGTTTCAACGCCTGCCACGCCTTGTAACGGTTGGTTGGGTCGAGCAAAGCTGGCAAGAGAGAACGCTGCTGGATGAAGACCGCAAGTCTACGTTTGGCAGATTGATTTCTGCCCTGTGATGTCGTAAGACGATAGATCGCTAATCATGTTGGTAGGGTTCGCACCAACATGAGCGTCCTTGACCTCTGCAGTCTCGAGATGGACCACGTCGATCCGTAGCAAGTGGAGTTTACTCGAATGCCGAGGAAGTTTTTGGAGGGGCGCTATCCCAGGGTAGACAAGGTCGCTTGAGTGACTTGCATGATCGGGTTTCGAGTTAGAAGGTCAAGAGAGTTGTAAAGCAGGAATGCGTTTGCGTGAGCCGTAAGATATCCCGAAGCATGCTGCTAGAATGGATCGAACCTGCAGTAGGAGAATGCCGTAACGATCGTGGCAGACCGACTTCTCGTAAGCTTCAACGAGGTGAATTGTGATATCATATGGGGTCTGCCCCGATATCACCTTCATATTCTAGAGTACCTTGGATTTCCATGTCTGCCGTCTGCATGAACGTTTTCCGTACGAGGAAGGTGGTAAGCCGGTCCGGCTACCACGATCACTTATTCGCCCCTTGCATGAC